CACCCATTCTGGATTCCAGTTCTCTCCTCCTTCCCATCTTCCACTCTATTCGGACGCCCACACTGTTTCTAAGGAAGGAAAACATTAGGCTTCAAGAAAAACGTGCAGCTTATGATTAACCCTTCAGGTCCCAGCCTGATACCTCAGGTCCCTTGACACATGAACAAGATCATAGATAAGGTGGTCAGAGGCCAATATTCTAACAATTGTGTGACCTCAGTTAAATTGATTCAACAAATACCTGATCTCCTGCTAAGTGCAAAATGCTCTGTTAAGCAGCATTACATAAACCATGTAGAAGGGCTGCTATCTGTGAAGGGTTCAGGAGCCCAGTGCAGCAGTGACATCCGGGAAAGAAGTTACGACAGACGGGCGCGTGCATGTGGTCAGAGCCAAGGAAGAGCACCTCCACGCGGGCTGGCCGGTGAAGCTCCAGAGCCAGGCACGTTCCCGGCTACTGGAAATGGGGAAGCACCCCAAGTTCATGGCAAGACATTTTCTCAACTCTTCTCTCCCAAATTAGAATCCCACCACTTGAAATTTTCTTTGACTGGGCAAATCTAAATGTAGCGCCTAAGTGCCAGGTACTGTGCTAGGCTCTGCGGCAACAGCACTCTGCAAAATGCAAGCCTTGCCCTCACGGGCCCTGTAGTCCACAGGGGGCCACAGACAGATCCACAGGCCACACGCTACAGCTTGAGGAGGCCCTCGAGACCCTCCTCTGGTCCACGTTCTGATTTGCTTCCAAGTAGAAAGAGGAAAAATGAGGGAGGGGTCTTCTACAGGCATGATCCAGAGGCAAAGTTGGAAAAACCATTAGCATGGATTTTGCCCAGGCTCTTGGTCCTTGCTGGAGGAATTTGAAGAGGAAGACTAGGTAGAGTCAGGCTGGAGAGCAAGGTGGGAGCGTCAGAGTAAGCAGGTAGGTGAGCCTTTGACCTTGAGAACAAGGTTTCACGATGCTCCCCCAAGCCCCGCCTCTGCACTGAGTGCTGTGGCGGAAAGAGCACCTGGGGCCAGCCCACTGTCACTGTCTCCGTGATCTCACACAGGCCTTCCCTCTCTCATCTGGAAATGGAAGTAAGCGACCCCAGCCCGGCACTTGCCCCTGGGGTTCCAGAGGAGCAAATGAAGGAGTTTTCAGGTAGTTTATGTGACTATGCAGTGCAGCCACAATCAGCGATGTCATCGCCGACATCAGCAACACCTGGGCCAGCCAAGGGGCAGCTCGGTGAACCCAGTGCCCCCACCAGCCCTTCCAGACGGAGAGCCTGCAGTAAAGCTTCACTGGCGGCGTTTCTCTCCAACTTCCCTACTAAAGTCTACCAGGGATGTCCAACTTTTTGGCATCTCTGGGCCACACATTAAATACACAAACACTAACAAAAACTGATGAGTAAAACAAAGGTTTTAAGTAAATTTACAGTTTTGTGTTGGGCTGCATTCCTAGCCTTCCTGGACAGCATGCAACCCATGGGCACCCCCGAACTAGGAAGATTTGAACAATGTACTTAATGCAGTTGGGGCGTGATGAGGAAGGGAAACAGGGCAGGAAACCCTCTTAGCAGCAGTTGGGAGTGCTGCGTGAGAGCCCTGCACGGTGCCAGTTTGTGAGACCCCACTTCGAACTTGGCAACGTTGGAACCTGCCACTCACTCTCCCACTGCCCTGCGTCTCCTCTCTGAGACTCCCGGCCTGGGCTCACCGTGCTGCTCCCTTCGGGGTGGGTTCCCCGCGGGGTGGTAATGACACCCAACACAGTGGGCCGCGTTCCCACGTCGTTTTTACCTGAGTCCTCGTCACTGAGTGGCAGTGGGAAGGGGTGAGGGCAGTGCTTCCTGTTCGTTGGGGGCTGGTCATTAAGCTCAGCCAGGCGCCCCCGGGACGCTGTACAGATGGCGTTTGCTGCCCTCCTGCGCACCAGACGGTTGGCCCAGTGAAGGCAGCGAGCCGTCCGCCTTCCTCCCCGCCAGACACCGCCACCTAACCAAGGGTTGGTTCTGAAAATCTTCATCAGTTAATGAGTCCTGACACCAAACAACCTTCCAGGTGGGCATTATCGCCCCCAATTTATGGATAGAACTGAGGCCCGAGTGACTCCAGGGATGTTTTCAGGGCAGGAGAGCAGGTCTGGCTGCAGGTCCGGAGCAGGTCAGGTCACTGCTGGCAGAGCTGACCTCCCACCTGCACAGCGCGCTGCTGAGAGCCTCCTCTCTCAGAGGCAATGGCTTTTACTGCTTCGTAGTCATTTTCCAGAAAGTTTGCATCCTGTCTGTATTTGAAAACAGGGCCTAGGCAACTAGCATCAGTCGTCACTCAGAAGTGCTACGGCGCTTTATAGATCTTTTGGTCCTATTTCCAGATTCTGTTTATGAACCGGTCCTCAGTTCTTGGGAGGACTACACGGAGGACAAAGATCAAACAGTCATTCAACCGACATGTATTAAATGCCCACCGTGCTGGAGACCTGCACTCGGGGCCCAAGGCACAAAGATGAATAACAAGGGGCTCATGGCCGGGAAAAACCTAGTTTAATAGCTCTGGCTGCACCTTTTCTTTCTTTAAAGAAAAGTTATCACAAAAGTGAGACATTCTGACTGCAAAATATTTGGAAAGCCCAGGTAAGAAGAGAAAGAAAAGAATCACCCGAAGTTCAAACAACATTTTACAAACCCTGGGGGCAGGGCCTACGTCTTAGTGTCTCTGCGTCTGCGCAACCTCAGCCCCGACTAGCAGACTAGCGAGGCGAGGCGGCAGTGGATGTTGGTTGGATCCGGGAGGCCGCCCTTTATCCCACCACCCTGAGATGGCCACTGTTGCGTCTGCGCAACATTGCTAGTCTCTTTTTCTTTGACTGTGAAACCACTGGTTTGGACATCATTCCTCCTGCCTCAACCTAAGGCAGGTGCAGCGCCACCTACGAGCGACAGGGTGGAGCCCACCACGTTTGGGTAGTCCTCCACCACGTCTCCTCACTTAGGGGTCTCTTGGGTGTGGGAGAGACAGGAACTGTTTCCAGATGCCCCCACGCCTCCCCACCCCACCTCAGAAAAGCCTCAGGGGCAGGAAGCTGGTTCACCTGAGATCTGCCCCCTTGGATGGAGGGGGACTTCAGGAACTTTCCTCAAGCCTGAGGCAGCTTTCAAAACTCCTGACGCCTGGATCGCCTTTGCACTAATTAAACAGAATCTCTGGGCATGAGGCCCAGGTGTTGATCTCTTTGTATTTTTTTCTTTTTTAAATTCAACTTTTTTTTACATTTTAATTGTTGTTCAAGTACAGTTTTCTGTCTTTTAATCCCATCCCAGCCCACCCTCCCCAGCCCTCCCCACCTCCCTCCCACTTCCACCCTTTGCCCCTCCCTCAGTCTCTTTGTATTTTTAAAGCTTTAAAGCTGCCTGGGTAAAAGACTGACAACCACCGATTTAAAGGAAGGCAGCCAGTGGTGAGGGCGGCCTTTAGAGAGGAGCCCTGAGACAACGGGGCACCGCAGGGGTGCTCTGCCGCCACCTGCAGGAAACACCGGGGTGGGGGTGGCGCACATGGGAAGTGGTCTGCAGAGGGGGGGCCCACAGGAGGAAATAGCGTCTTTGTTCCGAAGGGTTCTGGTGCGTCCCCGGTGCGTCCCCCGAGTGAGGGAAGAACACACAGAAACCATGTTTGCGTATGAAGTAAATACAGGGAGCTAACTGTGGGTGCCCCAAAGGGCTATCTGAAAGGCACAGGAGCTTTCTGGCTTCATTATAAAGGAAAGAAGAATTTTGCAAGATAATTTGTCAGAGATAAACCACTGTAACAACAGGTTGCCTAGCCTAAGGGAGATGACTAGAATTAGACAATCTTTCTTTATGTAATTAGCCACTGAAGGCTTGTTACTTGTCAAGCACAGTCCTAAGCACTTGACATGCATTATTTCATTTAATCTTTGTGATAACATTTTGCACCGAGTATTATTTATTACCATTTTATAGTAGAGGAAATCGATGCTAATAATTTTCAAGTAATCAGCATGCAATCACATTAAATAGGAGAGGTGAGCCCAGCCTCTCTGACTGCAAAGCCCATGGTTTGCTCACTCTGCCAGGTTCCAGCCAGACTTGCGTGATTAGAGGTAACACCAAGGTGGGAGGAAAATCAAGGCTTCCATCCTCCTGAGGAATGGTGACTTTTCAGCATGACCCACTGGCTGGAAGGCGCTTCCTTCTGTGAAGATGCGTGGTGTGAGATGGCGGCCAACACGCTGTGCAGAGAGCTCCAGCAATGCCTCTGCCGCCCAACCATGCAACCACACAGGTCACCCAGGTGGTCTACGCCTCTGTTTCCACACCTGCGCAGCCAAAAGGGCTGGAGCCACTGGGTCAATGGTTTTCAAGTTGCCCTGTGGAGGCCTGGGGTACAGGAGACAGTGCTGGGGACAGGGTAGGGGGCACAATCATTCTCTTTCCCCTTCAACCAGGCAAGCTCTGCCTTTAGCTGCTTCACGAGATGTTTCCCTGACTGAGGGGAGTGGGTACATTCAGAAGGAAACCATTAGGTTAGTGGTGAGTGATGAATGGCAATAACCCTTCCAATCTGATAAATGTCAGGTCCTCTGTTTCTGAAAATTCATGGTGCTGGGAAGAACCAGTACCATCACATTTAGGTGGATGTTGAACAGAGTGGGCGGGAGAATGGCCTTTTGTGCATGTGGCAGGGAGGAAGGGCCACGGAGGCGAAAGAGGACAAAAAGCCCAGCAGCACGGCCAGCAGAGCTCACACTCAGGGGAACCTGCCACTCGGAGTGCACGTGACCCACCAGAACAGACAGGAGAGCAACCAGGCGCCCTCTTTGTCGCTGTGGGGGGGCGGGGGCGGCGGGACGGGGTCACAAACAGCAGAGGCTGAGCTCTGGGCTTCATCCCCCTTGTTTGCACTTCTTCTTACTCAATAGAGTAAAAGTCTCCTGTTCTCTTTTAGTAGGTTAGGATTTAAGCAATCTTCTGTTTCTTTGTGTTTTTCAGATCTTAAATCCAAATTTCATCCAAGAAGGTGAGTTTAAAAAGTGGTAGAGTTGAGAACACGGGGCGTGGCTAAATAACTCAGGGCAAACCCAGCACTGAGCAGGAGCCTTGCAGCCAGCGTGGGGCGGCTCGGTGCGCACCGCCAGGGGGCGTGCTGGCGATGCACTGTGAGGCGGAAAGGCCGCAGAGTGCATTTGCCCAGGGAGTTCAATTTACATAAGAACCTGTGTGTTGAATTATAACCTGAAAGGGTATTTACCAGAACGTTCACAATAGTACAATAGTCACCTCTGGATCATGGCATCGCGGAGCTTTTTCTTTTCTCTGCTCATCTGTGTTTCCTGATTTGTCTGCAGTAAACATTTACTACCGTTAAAATACTTTTTCATTGGACACGGCTTAATCAACAGTGTTAAGCTGAAGGTTATTTGAATTGTTACACACCATAGGTGGGGAATGCGAGTAACATGCTATAAAATGACTGTTCTATTCTAAGTCCTGACTGATGTGAATTTATGTCAATTTAACCACAGTGGCCCCAGAATTCCTTGTGCCCTTAGTGGATGTGACCTGCTTGCTTGGGGACACAGTGACACTGCAGTGCAAAGTCTGTGGGCGACCAAAGCCCACCATCACCTGGAAGGGTCCAGACCAGAGCATCCTTGACACTGACAGCAGCTCAGCCACATACAGCCTGTCCTCCTGGTGAGCGGCCCACCTCCTCCGCACCCGCGGCGTGTTCGTGCAGCGCCCAGAGGCACTGGGACACAGCTCTGTTCCAGTGATTTAGTTTCTCCCAGAGAAGAGCTGCCCTGGAGCCTATTCCAGAGCAAACGCTTGGCCTTGACTAGGAGAAAGCCCGCGTCAAAAACCGTGGGTGGCTCACGGCCACTCGCTCTGCCCACACGGCGGCGGTCCCCGGGCCGCGAGCTCAGCACGCCTCAGCCTGAGGGACACACGGGCCGTGACCAGCACGCACTCACTTGTTGCTCAGCATTGTGCAGACATACTGAGGGTCAGAAAGGACGGTTCAGAAAGACTGCACCCTGAACCCACATTAAACAAAGAAGGACACACACGAACCTTCTCTCAGGTCAAGCCTGAGCCATCCTTTTGAAGAGCCCTGACAGTCACTGACTTACCTTCAGCCTATTTAACTGTCTTTCCCTAAGGATTCCCAAGAGAACGTCTATGTCAGACATGAGGAGGCTGCAGACCTGTGGTAGGAAAGTGATCCTCATGTCTGGACGCCCCAGTGTTCTCTGTGCACCTCGGGATCCTGGGAAACAGTGATGTAATCAGTATTTAGCTCTCCCACCAGCCTGAGAACAATTCTCTTACCAGAAAAGACAATAACCCACTCCAAAATGTATAAGAGAAAACAGAAAATCCAGCCACAGCATGCTTCTGGGCAAAAAGGGTGTTTAACAAAACTTGGCTGACTGCCTCCCAGTCATCCTGTTAATATTTATTGCTACTAAGTATGAGCTTTACTGTGGACTACTGCTTGCAGTGCAGAGCAGTAACAAGCCCTAATGCTTCTTAAGAATCATCTACAGGAGAAACACCTAAGATCGAGACTCTCATCCACTAACTTAACATTGGTGGATGAACAATAAAGGGTGTCACTGTGAAGCCTCCCTGCCCAGGCCCTAAAATACCAGCGAGCCCAAGGAGGTGAGAGGAGGGTCAGTGTTCTGTGCGGATCTTGAGGGTCACCGCTGTGTCACAACTGGGGCGGGGGGGCGAGTGGGGCTGATGGGGCCTCTGCGCTGGGCCCCTTCCAAGCAGCCCATCCTGAGCGAGTTCCAGTCCCCCAACTGGGACTGCCAAGACAGCCACCATTTAGTGGAGGAATTTGCTCTTTATATAATTCACTTAATTTTTGGAGGGTTCCACTATTAGAATCTGAAATGCTTGCACACTTTCATTCTTTAGTCTTTCTTTCTTTTTTTGCTCCCCATTCATTCTTGATCTGTGTGACTGGAACTATTCAGAACAAAATTGCTGGTGGTAATTATACAAGTAATACTGTGAACAGTGCTTGTACTGGACTTTATAGATTTCAAACCGTGTTCTAATTCTTACCTCATTTTACTTTTTCTATCCCTATCCCTCATGTACAATGAGCTTGAGAAAGGGGCACAGCAAAAATTTTTGCCCCATAATTAAGGAAATGAGAATGTAGGGAGGCAAGGCGACCACCCGAGGTGTGTACAGACCGGGGGCTAGCCCTTGGGCCTGAGGACTCAGCTCTGGCACAGCAGATGCCAGCCCCTCACCTGTCCATTGTACCACTGCTGGAGTCTGAAGGCATCCTCTCCGTGTCCCTAGTGATTCCGGGGAGATCACCCTGAAGATCTGTAATCTGATGCCCCAGGACAGTGGGATTTATACCTGCATTGCAACAAATGACCACGGGACCGCATCGACGTCCGCTGCAGTTAAAGTGCAAGGTACAGTCCCCTTTTTTAAGCACTTTTTATACTTGTTAAAATATTTGCTTTTATTGTCACAAGATACACGTAACATAAAATTCACCATCTGAACCAAATTTAACCGTACAGTTCAGCAGTGTGAGATGTATTCACACCATGGAGTAACCAGCCTCTTCACTTCACCTCATAGAACTGAAACCCTGTGGCCTTTAAATACCACCCTGCCCGGCCCGGCCTGCCGCGTCCCCACCACCACCCCCCCACCCCCCCCTACCCCCACCCCAGAGGTCCCATTTTCCTCCTCACTCTCTGCCTGTGTGTCAGTCAGATGTTTTCTGTGGGCATTACAGGGCTCCCCGAGACCTGGGCGGGGTGGGGTCTGGGGAGCCATTGTGAAGGTCCCAAAGTAAGGTTTTAGCAGACAGGAACAGAATGAATTTTCAATAGGAGATTTCTATGTTCTCTCCACCTCCGACCAAGTTTCATCTCCCATGTGCCGAATTTAGCCCAAGGAAGAATTTCTTCTTTTTTGAAAAACTTTTATGTATTGATTTTAGAGAGAGGTGGTGGGGGGTGAAGATAAAGAGAAGAGAGAGAGTGAGGGAGAGGGAGGGAGGGGGGAGAGAGAGAGAGGTTGAGAGATTTGTTGTTCCACTTATTGATGCATTCATTGGTTGGTTGCTGTATGTGCCCTGACTGGGGATCAAACCCACAACCTTGGTGTATCAGGACGATGTTCTAATCAAGGAAGATTTTCTGACAGCAAGGTGTATCTCCCAGGTCATAGGAAAAATTTGAGATGCAGATTAGGTAGTTTCCCAGGTGACATTCAACCCCGGTGTAAAATACCAAGTTCTGCAGAAATAGCACTTGACCCTAATTTCTGTCCCCGAAGGTGTTCCGGCAGCCCCTAACCGCCCCATTGCCCAGGAGAGAAGCTGCACCTCCGTGATTCTCCGCTGGCTGCCCCCGTCCAGCACGGGAAACTGCACTATTTCCGGTTACACCGTGGAGTACAGAGAGGAAGGTGGGCCATCTGGTTGTCTCCTCTTCCTTGTAAAGAGGGCCTTCAGATGCATGAAACTATTGGTCTCTGAGCCCTTTACCAGCTGGTCCTTCTTGTGTCTTCCAACTCAGCACAGCGCCACACTACAGAGCCTTCTCGGATCCCATGCACCCAGCAGCGGTTTTTGACAAAGTGATGACTGGTGGCAGATTTCAGAGTGCCTTCATGTGCCCATCCCTGCCTAACGAGCCCAGGCCTGCTGGCAGAGACCTTCAGGCAGGTTCTGCAGATGAGGAGGCTGAGGTCTGAAGTACAGAAGCAGGAGGCTGAAGTTAGAGCCCAGGTCTCTAGTTGGCTCATTTGTGATCTTTCTCCCAGAAGTAACAACTAGGGGAGCAGGAACAGAGCTCTACCCTAACCCCCCCCCCAGATAAAACTGAGAGATCGATATATAGAGAGTACCTTTTTAAACAAATTGTTCACTTTTTAAATTTGTGACGTTTACACGCTGAAAGTGCATACATTTCTTCAGCAGTTGTAAGCAACCGAGCCTGACACCTACTTATAGAGAAGAATCAGCTAAAATGATAAGCTGCCAGGCAGCTGATTGCTAATAACACATCTCTGAAACACACGGCAAGTTACACGAGGGAACTGAAAGCGATGCTTGCACCCAGAACCAAAATCATGTGTTCCTGCACAGTCCGTTCCTCCTACTATTTTAACTCTTCTTTCTCCTGGGGAAGTGCCGACGCTGTTCATTTCTGCTCTTTCTCGGGCTGTTCACTCTTGTGTCTCCCTACTCAGCACAAAGGCATCGATGCTGAGCGGACGGGCAGGGCTCACAGAGTCCATCTTCGCCTCAGCAGTGGGCAGTTGTCTTGTGAAAGTTGCTGGGGCTCTCTGAGTTCGGTTTCTTCACCTGTGCAGTGAGACCCGTGCTCCTGACCTCACAGGGTCCCTGTGCATCTCAGTGAGTGAGGGAAATGAGAGGTTTGTGTGAGGACGCCTCCCGCAGCGCTTTACAGGCGCGTGGCGCTCAGTACATGCTCGTTTCTGGTTTGCTTCGATTTCCAAATGCAGCTTCTCAGTTTTGTTGTTACTTTCTGTTTTCCTGGCTTTATTCAAAACTGGCCCATGTTCCTCTGCGTGTCTTCCCAGGCTCACAGGTGCACGCTGGAAATGGCTGCGGCCCCTGCCCCCACACCCACTGTGGTGTGTTCCAGTGTCGGGGAAAGCAAGCCCAAACCTGCCGCAGGCGGCCCGCAGGCTTTCAGAGCTCCACACAGCGACCACAACTGTCCCTCGCATGGAATGTGTCAATTTTCCTTTCTTTGTTTGCTGAAGGTCTCTGAAACAATGTCCCTCTGGCCTTTTCTCTTTCTCTCTCCTTGCAAATTGCACACTAGGTTCCCAGGCCTGGCAGCAGTCGGTGGCTTCGACCTTGGACACTTACCTTGTCATTGAAGACCTCAGTCCCGGGAGTCCTTACCAGTTCCGTGTCAGTGCCAGTAACCCCTGGGGGATCAGCCTTCCCAGTGAGCCCTCAGAGTTCGTGAGACTTCCAGAATACGGTGAGCCCCGGGCATGCCCAGGACCCCAAGCAGTGGAGGCGAGGCACCTGGCCAGAGGCTGCACACTCACCAGCACTGTCTGTTCATCGGTGTGTCAGCTGCCATTCAGCAGGTGGCCTGGATTTGCTCAGTGGCCTCAGTCAAATAACATTTCAGAGGCCTGATGAAAAGTGTCCCCATAAAGTGTGATTTCAGGTGTCTTGGGGCAAGAGTTCGATCTGCTACCTGTGTGTAGCCTGGGCCAGCCAGGCTCCCTGGGCACCAGGCGTGTCCCAAGGGACTGAGGCGCAGGCAGACTCGAGAGTCACTCGGATGCTCACTGCCCCTCTTCTAAGACGGAAACACCACAACCCTCCTCTCCCCTGGGAGCCCCTGCCAGGCATATGTGCACCGCACAGTATTAGGGACCCCTCCCCTCCGCCCCCTCGACTCACCAATGTAAAATGGGGAGAGGAAAGGAACCTGGTTGAAGGGGTTGATCATTTCCTCAGTCTCTTACCCTCCCAGAATACACTTTTAGGTGGGTGTGCCAAATCCATAACGAAGATACACACATGACCAGCTAGCTACACGGGAGTATTGTACAAATGAGGCTCCTGTTTCGCCCACCTCTCCACTCTCTCACCAAGCCCCCTTGGTCCCCAGGACATTTTGAGAGAGGACACTTGTTAGCCCACAGAAAGCTTCGAGAAGTGAGGTTTCTGGCAGTACAAGGGAGTAGGCAGTGCGTGTCGGAGGACAAGGGAGATTACTGCACTTAAAAGCCAATGAGTCTATATCTCTTTGGGTTAAGAGAATCCCAGAGCCTAAAGAGGGGCTTCAGAAACCTTCCAGGGTCTCAGACCACAGCCCCACCCCCACTGGCTCAGCACCCTCCCAATGGCTTTGTTCCGGTGGGGGGGTGGGGCCGTGACTCACTGGGATACCCTGGCCTTGGGTCTGTTTCCTCCGATTGCAGTGTGGATGGGTACCTTCAGCCTCAGCTGGGATTGGGCAGCCCCAGGTGACCGGGGTCGGAAGAGCTGTGCTGCTGGCTTGGTCCTCTCCTCCCAAGCCCCACTCAGAGGTGGCCCTGCTCACGGTTTGCTCCTTGTCAGCCTTGGCCCCCAGAGAAAACCCGCAGATAGGAGTGTGCGTGCTTGCGTGAGTCATCACCTAAAGTAATGCTGCAGAGATTCTACTTGGGCATGTGTTTTGGGTTAAGGTAAATAACTCCATAAACGGGATAAGCTCATTAGTGCCTGAGACCAGGAGGTGAGAAAGAGCAGTCTTTAGACCCTTTGGAGCACAGTCCTTTCCCTCATCCTTTCCCGCTTTGTGACCTTCCCCAGCCCCTTTGTTACAGAACAAACAAGGGGGGCCTGGGATGATATACTATTACTGAAAGAAGCCCCCAGGTCCATTATGTCCGCCACCAGAGGAAAGACGTCTCTCAATGCCAGAGACTCATGAAAAGGAAGGGACATGTTTATTTAATGCTATACAAACTTAAAGTAGTGACCTAATGTCTTTATCAAAAAATCCTAAAGTCCCTTAAAACACCCACAAACAGACACAGTCCTTCCTTCCTTCCTTCCCCCTTTGCCCAGTCCAGAGTACCATATCTCAGGAAAGGAAATAGAAGTCCATGGCTCAGGCAGTCCTCTGGTTATTCCCAGTTAGTACTCCATCTCGACTGGGAGACCTCCCTGGGTTCCCAGCACCCTCAGCTGAGTCGCTGGGATCTCTGCTAAAACCAGGTGGTGATTCCCCCTTCTAAAGCTGCGGGGGTCCCCACTCTGGCAAAGGCACATGGTCCTCTCTCCCAGGGCCATGGGAGTCCCCACTCAGCCAAAACCACGTGCTTCTCCCCCTGTGCAATGGCTGCAAGGGGGGGGCAGATCACCACTCTGCCAAAGCCGCATGGTGATTGTCTCTTGCAGGGCTGCGGGAGTCCTCACTCTGCTAAAGCTGCATGGTTCTCTCTCTCCAATGGCTGTGATCCTCTCTGCACTTCCACAGCTGCATGGTTCTCCCTCTCAGGGCTGCGTATGGTTCTCCCTTAATGGCTGCTGCATCTCAGTTTAAATCCCTACTCCCGTCTTTCTCTGTAGCCCCATTTCTGACTCCTCCCACACTCGGCTTCACATGCCAGAACTCATACCCTTCCAGCTTTACTGGACTGCCATCATGAGTCTGGGCAGGTGTGGCCCCAAGTCCTGGAGCCAATCATCTTCAAGCTCCCACGCAGGCACTGTAACTTGGGGGGCCTGCCCCCCAGTTACATCTTGGTGGGAAAGTTACTTCCATTCCCCTGGCTCAGAGCATGGCCACAGCTATTTAACATATCTAAGTGATCAGCCAAAGGCTATAGATATGTTAAATGACCACACCAGAGGTTAGCTGCAAGGCTATTGCTATGCAAAACAGCTCTCAAAGGCCCTGCCTCATTTGTCCCTTCCCCCAACCCACACCGGGGGGGAGGGAGGACATCCTAAAATCTCCTAGACACCTTGAGTTCTGGACCCCATTTTAAATGCCCATTTGGGGTCCCCCCTCTTGGCTGCACCCTGTAACACCTTGACCACGCCCTCCCACAGCCCTGACTCTCACCGGCCTATCTGGCCTTCAGCATGGTCTTCACTCTCCCTTTTAATTTTTTTTTATCCTCACCCAAGGACATTTATTTTCTTTGCATTTAGAAAGAAGGGAAAACGAGGAGGGAGGGAGAGAAAGAGAAACATCAATATAACAGGGAAATATTGAATGATTGCCTCTCGTGGGCTCCCTGCCCAGGGATTGGACAATGCTACAACCATTTGGGCCACACAAACCAGGAATTCCTTTTAATTTTTTCTGCAAAATACTTATCTGTAAAATATCCTGAACTTACATTCCTGACTCCTCGAGTCCTTGGGTTGCCGTAGGTGGCACAGGGAAGGAGTCTGACTCTGTTACTTCAGTTTTTCCTTGGATCATAGTTTTTAAATGAGAATGGCAGAGAATCATGGTGTTTTCCCACTGAGTGAGACTCCGTATTTAATCTTGATTTGGGGTTATGCTGGAGCTTTCCTGCTAACCTTTTTGTTACTCTATGTGACTTCCTCAATGTCATAAATGGGTTCTCTCTCTTCCGAAGATGCTGCTGCTGATGGGGCCACCATTTCCTGGAAGGAAAACTTTGATTCGGCTTACACTGAGCTGAATGAAATCGGAAGGTAATGACCCTGTTTTCTAGTCCTTCGTTCGTGAGCACTCAACACCACACCAGAAGAACAACCTGCTTTTATTATGTGTTTTTTTACTAAGTGCATTCTCCCTACAGTAGGAAAAACGAGAACACTTACATGTATTTTCTGTTGTCCTTTCTCTAACTTCTGAAGTTGGAGGCTTCCCTTATCAACTCCCAGCCTTTCTTCTTTTCTGGTATGAGAATTGAAGGCTCAACCTTTTCTTCAAAGAACAATTTTAGCTACATCTCAGTTGCTATGTGGCATTTTCATTTTCATTCAGTTCTAAGTATTTTTCCTTCACCTAGTATTTTTTCCTTTGATACAATAGAAAAAATGGAAATGTTTTAAAATTCTAAATGTATGAGGTTTTTGCAATTATCTTCTTGTTACTGATTCTACATTGCATCGCAATTGAAGAAGTTGGTCTATATGACACTGAACCCTTTGCTGCTGGGGACACTTGCTTTAGGAGTAGTATGTGGTCAGATTTTGTTAGAAGTTTCACGTGTTCCCAAGAAGAGCTGTGTAATCACTAATTGTTGGGTGTGGATCTTTGTGGGTGGACATGCAGCAAGCCCAGTGTTTTGTGGACATTTCTAGTCCAAGCACTCGTGCTCTCTCTCTCTCTCTCTCTTTGTATTTTGGTTATAAAAGTGTGTCCTCAACAACAAAAAGGATAAAAGTATGACTTTTAAAAGAATAGTGAAAATATGTATCACCTGTCCCACAAAACAGTTGATGGAAAGGAACAAAAAGGGGGCTGTCCCCGTGTGCGCAGTAGCCTCCAGGTGGTCTCAGTGAGGAATGTGGGCGGGGTCTTGGAAGTTGCCAGCTGCCCTGGGTGTGTGAAGAGAAGAACATGGTTGGCAGCATCTCCATCTCCAGTGGGCGTCCCTCAGCGGAGCACAGAATCTCCTAAGCAGGTGGCTGTGACAGAGTAGAAAGAGCCCAGGTCTTTGTTGGTCCCATTTTTTAGGCAGTAGTCACAACGTAAATCACTGCCTTCACTGTACCACCTTTCACCACCACCAACAACAACACACAAAAACACAACCTCAGCTCTCCTTTGCTATCTTCTTTGTGTAGACACAAGGCCGACAGGCATTTATGTGGTGTTGATGATGATGAGATGCTTATTGAGCATCTATAGTGTTCCAGACACCGGGCAGATATTATATAAAAGTTACTTAACCCAATTCTATTGTTACAGAACACAACAAGGGGGGCCTGAGACAATATACTATTATTGAAAGAAGGCCCTGGGTCCGTTATGTCCACCGCCCTAGGAAAGACGTCTCTCAATGCCAGAGATTTGTGAAAAGGAAAGGAAATATTTATTTAATGCTATACAGACTTCAAGTAGTGACCTAATGTCTTCATCAATAATCCCAAAGTCCCTTAAAACACCCACAAACACAGTCACAGTCCTTCCTTCCTTCCCCCCTTTGCCCAGTCCAGAGTACCGTATCTCAGGAAAGGAAAATGAAGTCCATGGCTCAGACAGTCCTCTGGTTCTTAGTTAGTCCTCCATCTCGACTGGGAGACCTCCCTGGGTTCCCGGCACCCTCGGCTGAGTCGCCAGGGTCTCTGCTAAAACCAGGTGGTGGTTCCCCCTTCTAAAGCTGTGCATGGCTCTCCCTCCTAAAGCAGCATGGTTCTCCCTCTTAGGGATGCGCATGGCTCTCCCTCCTAAAGCACCACGATTCTCTCTCTCCAATGGCCGCCAAGTCTGGGTTTTAAATCTCCACGGCCAATCTTCCTCTGCAGCTTCATTTCCGACTCCTCCCACACTCAGCTTCACATGCCAGAACTCATATCCTTCCAGCTTTACTGGGCTGCCATCATGAGTCTGGGCAGGTGTGGCCCCATGTCCTGGAGCCAATCTTCTCCGAGCTCCCACGCAGGCGCTGTAGCTTGGGGGGATCTGCCCCCAGTCACGTCTTGGTGGGGAAGTTACTTCCATTCCCCTGGCTCAGAGATGATCACAGCTATTTAACATATCCATGCAACCAGCCAAAGGCTATAGATATGTTAAATGACCATGCCAAAGGGTAGCTGCAAGGCTGTTGCTATGCAAAACAGCTCTCAATGGCCTTGCTCCATTTGTCCCTTCCCCCAACCCACACCCTGGGTGGGGGGATGGAGACATCTTAAAATCTCCTGGACACCTTAAGTTCCAGACCCCATTTCAAATGCCCATTTGGGGTCCCCCCTCTTGGCTGCACCCTGTAACACTATTACACGGTGTTTGAGTAGATATACGGTAGCTGTAAACTAAGTCTTAAGGGTTAAATAGCTTCCTTGAGGTCTGAGGTCCAGGATTCAAACCCTGGGCCCTCTGACCCTGAGCCTGTGCTTGATTACTCTAAGATGTTGTTTTGCATCACAACAACTTTTGTGATACATAAGCAGTAGTCATTAACATCTAATTTTCTCCATATACTGAAGTTTGTGAAGCTAGATAAGATTCTCCTTGTGAGCAGGTCAACCTGGTTTCACCGCCTGGATGCCCCAGGTAATTCCTCTCCTACACGAATCAGCTGTGGACAGCCTTAGGCTGAAGGTGTTTCAGCTGGAAGAGATGGGTGTTTGGATATTCCTCAAAGAGGAGATCAATGTTCTGATCTGTCCAAAGCAAGCCGTGGTTTTTTAGAAATTACATCTCCAACAACCTGAAATTTTTCCTCTCTCCCTAATTGGTCCTTATATTTTCAGAAGATCCTTTAAACCAGGGGTGTCAAACTCATTTTCACTGGGGGGCCACATCAGCCTCTAGGTTGTCTTCAAAGGGCCAAATGTCATTTCAACTCCTTAACAGTTAAGGAGTAGTTACATTTATACAGTCCTAAAATTACATTCGGCCCTTTGAAGGCAACTGTGAGGCTGATGTGGCCCCGGTGAAAATGGGTTTGACACGCTTCGGTTAGACACACTGTGTGCTAATAGAACAGAAACAAAGCATGCCGGTACTTACCTGGGACACGTGCAGGACGATCGTGCTGCCAGGGCTGTACAAGTGACCTAGTTTTCTCCATCACACCTACACCCAGACTCTAAGCGTGTGTGACTATCTTATTATAAAGAGCTCTCTGGTAACTGAATATTATAAAAATCGTGGTGCAAAAAGAAATACCTTTACTCCTATAGCCCAATCGTGGAAGCAAAGAGCACTCAGGCACAGCATGTGAACCAGAAGTGGGCTGCACAGGCACCAGTGCAGTCTGGGGCAGCCAGGGTCACCCCCGGAGTGCTGACTGCTCACCTGTACGGGATCCAGCAAGCAGCAGAACCAGGCCCCTGGGGAAGGACGGTAGTTGAACCAGGTGTCTGTTTTCACTCCCTCTTCAGGCTTCACTAAATCTCCTATAAAAGGATTTTTTAAAGCAGACACATAAGGAGGAGGACATTAGAAGAAGTGACAACAATAAACTATCAAAAGCAGCAAAAACAGGTTGAAAGAGTGGCAAATAACCCGGGAAACCTGAGAAAACTCAATTCAAGTCAGTTGTGGGGGCAAGTGAGAGTCACAATAAGAGACAGCAGAATTCCCCAGAGGCTCAGGTCCTGGCAGCACCCAGAGCCTCGAGAAATAGGTGTGAAGAGGATGCCCCTCGTTGGCAGGATTGGCTGAATTCTGTGTGAGGAAAAGTTGCAGCTCAAATCTCCTCCCGCGCCTCAGGCGGCTGCACAGTTATTCTTCCCCACCCAGGAAAAGGCCAGAGGCTTACTCTCCCGGAAAGAGTACAGCGGAGGGCCTCTGTTCTCAAGCTCACCAGCACCGTGGAGGGCAGCAGAGCCCTGCCCCAAACAGGCCAATTAGGAGACTATGTGCCCACCGGATGCTGAGGGGCCCCTCTCTCCTCCACTCTCAGAGCTTTCAAGCAGCTTTTTAGTCCCCGCTTCTTAAAATGAGCCAACTTCCCACACTAGCCAAGATGGAGTAAACCCCTTGTAGCTGTCTCTGTTCTCTCTCACTGACCTCAACCAGAATCCCAGGGGCAGGATGTGAAAAGCAGCTATGTGAGAATTCTGAGAAAAAAAAACAGTAGCAGGGAGATTGGGGAAGGAAGTCAAAACTTGACAAAAAATGAAAACATTGGCTGTGAGTTTTCTGTTTGTTTTTTTCTCCTTTGACCCAAGGGTGGGCCAAATCCAGACACTGCAGCCCACACAGAGACGGAGCACCCCAAGACAGATCTGTCTCTCAGGCCAAAAGACAGGGCAAGGGGGGCCCTTCGAGCTGAAAAGAGCAAGGAGCCTCCCCTGGTCCCTCCTTCTCTCTCTCACTGCTTTGCCCCAAGGGCATGCATGCAAAACCACAGTCTGGTGAAGTGGGAAGCTGAAACTCTCAGGCAATCCAGTCGTTTTGGCCAGAAGAACAATAGGAGGGGGCTGGCGGGAGCCAGGAATGTGGGGGAAATCTCAGTGAGGGACATAACAAAAGGTTAGGAGTTATAATGCTTTGGACATCGACAGTTAACATCATCAATTACACTAGAAATCAGAAAGCAAGGGAATAATTCCTTCAAAATTGTAAATGAATTTTTCCACCTAGAATTATACTCAGCGAAACTAACAATCAAGTGTATAGGTAGAATAAGCACACTTCAGGTATGCAAGTCTCAAACAACTAATTTTCCCATGCACTCTTTGTCAGAAATGACTGAAAAGTGCATTCTGCCACAAAAAGGAAAAATATTCATAGTTTGCTAGAGGTTCAGTTGTAAATAGCGCTGACATAGTTCCAAGAATATAAACACTAAAATGGATTACAGTATAGTTCTGTTGGGAGACGGGGTGAAAAAGTGGCTATGAGGTGGAGACAGAGGGAGGGAAGTCACTCAAGTCGCACCTTTCATACTGGGATGTCAACAGATAATAAGTAAAATTGGAAAAAATCAAAATGTAGTCACACAAAACATACCACACTTAGAGTCATAGAAGTAAATACCTAAATCAGCTAAAATATATTAAACTAGTATATTAAACTGCTTCTCAGGAGGAAGATGGGGATGAGTGGGATGATGGGATGCTTTTGTTTTCAAACCTTGCAAGGCTAAATGACTCTCTAAAGCATGGGGGAGCGTTATGTTGATACACACAAATTAAGATTAAGGTAGCAATGCTTTGTCAGGGCCATGCAGTTCAGGAGACCTTGCTCGGCATTCACAGTCCTCTGGAAAGACAGACTTATAATAATCAAACTCATGAGAGTGCAGTTAAAAGTCAGAATGACTGTTTATTAATTCATGACATAAAATAGAACTTCCGTTCTGACAAAATACTTGTTCATTATGCCAAGAATCATGTCTGGTACAAAATAGGCATTCAATTAACATTTGCCTGATACTTGTTTTATTGACTAGCATATTCTCTCTTTTGGAGAAAATCTGTAGAAAAAAAACACTATTGTCAGAAAGTTGCTCAGAGAGCACAGAGCCAAGTCAGGGAGCCAGCCCTGGTCACAATGTCTGGTGCATCCACTGCTCTTCACACCCTGCACTCCTCCACGCCTGAGTTAGGGCGCCTCTGGACAGGCCTCACTGGCACTGGCTTGTCACCTTTTTGACCCTCCCTTTCTCTGCTTCCATGGTGATCAGCCCACCCCTTTCTACCGCTCTCTCACTCCCTTCCATAGGGATACAGCTGAGTCTGGGAACATTTTATTTTAGGTGCAGTTAATTTTCCTAAATGTAAAAATGGAATGGTGGTTACATACTTGTTCAATGTTCTTGTCGATTAAAGATGCAAACTGAAGTTTAATAAATGAAATAACATGATATCTGGATTTTACCTAAAACACTTAAAAAAAAAGCAGAGGGCAGGAAAGGAATAAATGAAATCGTGTTGGCAAAATGTTGATAATTATTGAAGCTGGCTGTTAGGTGCATAGAGCATCTATTACAGCATTCTCTCTACTGTTGTGTAAATTAGACATTTTTCATTGAGAGCAGGCCTGCGAATCAAAGTATCACCGGTTTGATTCCCAGTCAGGGCACACGCCTGTGTTCCAGGCCAGGTCTCCAGTGGCGGGTGTGCTAGAGGCAACCATACATTGATGTTTCTCTCCCTCTCTTTCTCCCTTCCTTCCCCACCTCTCTAAAACAAATAAATAAAATCTTTAAAATAAATAAATAAATAAAATTAAACTAAAAATAACCTCTTTAAAAATGTTTTTTAAATTATCACAAGTAGAATTCCTCCTTTTTTAACATTGTTACTATCGTTACTGTAGTATTTGATAGAAATACACTCTGTTTAGAAAAGAAAACTGAACCTGTGCTTGATGTTCCACAATGACAGGAAAATATATTGACTAAAAAATGCTATTAGTTTTTATGCATGTCAAAGAATCCTGAAATGCAGAGGAAGGAAAAATGGTGGCTGATAACATTATGATTAAAACTACAGCCCTGGCTGGTGTGGCTCAGTGGATTGAGTGCTGGCCTTTGACCCAAAGGGTCAGAGGTTCGATTGCCAGTCAGGGCACATGCCTGGACTGTGGGCCACGTCCCTGGTTGGGGGCAAATGAGAGGCAGCAGATCAATATTTCTCTCACACATCGCTGTTTCTCTTCTCTTTTTCCCTCCCTTCCCCTCTCTCTAAAAGTAAGTAAATAAAATCTTTTAAAAAATATAGTAGTACCCCTTTTTATCCATGGTTTTACTTTTCACAATCTCAGTTACTTATGGTCCACTGTGGTCTGAAAATATCAAATGGAAAATTCCAGAAATAAAGAATTTGTAAGTTTTAAATTGTGCGTTGTTCTGGGTAGCTTGACTAGATCTTGTGCCACCCCACACAGCCCCACACAGGTCACGAGCCACCCCTCTGTCCAGCATGTCCACTCTGCGCCCGCTCCCCACTGTGAGGCACTCACGGCCATCGCAGTTACCAGGTCAGCTGTCGAGGCGGCACAGCGTGTGCTCCCATCACCCTTATTTTACTAATATCCTCACAGCACAAGAGCAGTAATGCTGACAATTCAGAAATGCGTGAGAGAAGCCATAAAGCGTTTCCTTTAAGTGAAAAGGAGGAAAACATTGTATGTGTAGGCTTCAGTGCTTTCTGTGGTTTCAGCTTCCACTGAGGGTCTTCGAGCATACGCCTCTGGGTGGGCAGGGGACGGCTACTGTACAGGAAAATAGAACTCCTAATAAAATGTTACTATCTGACCACTTCAGAGAAAATGTCATACATCCTGAGTAAAGTAATGACTACTTGATTAATGAATCTTTGACAAAATGCTTTCTCCCTTTGGTTTTCCAGAGGCCGTTTCTCCATCGTAAAGAAGTGCATTCACAAAGCTACCCGCAAAGATGTCGCTGTGAAATTTGTTAGCAAAAAAATGAAGAAAAAAGAGCAGGCTGCCCACGAGGCTGCCCTGCTCCAGCACCTGCAGCACCCGCAGTACGTCACCCTCCACGACACCTACGAGTCTCCCACGTCCTACATCCTGATTCTGGAGCTGTGAGTACGGGGTCATCCCTCTGAGGTGGGCCCCTGCTGTAGGGCTCAGTTGCTAGCAGTTCTGTCCAATGCAGTGTCTCATAGTTTCCAAAGTGCTGTGTGTCACATGCACTCTGCCCTCCATTTTATAAAAATGTTATTCTTATTTTATAGATTAGAAAATCAAGGATGAGGAAGATCCTTAAAACTAGGAATTGGAAAAGCTGGGACTTGAACCCACATTTGTCTCACTCCAGTTTTCATCTTCTTTCTGTTATGGACGTTTGAGCTGGGCAGTTGAGGAAAAGCTTTTGACAGTAGACTTACTGACAGGGGGTGGGGGCATGGAGTTGGGATGAAAGGGAGGGGCTTGCACGTCAACCCACTGTCATCTACCATCTGGGAGATCCTCTGGGGCACAACCTTACCTTCAGAACATTCTACTCATTCCAGAGTTTCTAGGGACTTGGGCAGCCATGTAGTTGGCCCTGGTTGGCCCCAGGACACATCAAATAAAGCAGTAAGTTCACATTCTTCTCACGACTACCCCCAGCTAAGACCAGAGGACATGCTCTGTGGTTTAGAGAGATTTTACACCGACTAAAGAAGCATTTTCAGAAGTACTGAGCCCTCACAGGAAGGTTATCAGATTGGTACAGATGAGGCCCTGGGCCTGGAGAGGAGATAGATATTTGCACCCAAGACCAATGCCATGCAAGTCTTCACAAGGACCCTCATTCCATAGAGAAGCACCTCCATTCATAGCTTCGCAATGTCGTTTTAGTCTTGTTCTTGTGTGCTTGTTAGTCTAGCTCAGCAATTTTCACTGGTGTGCTGCAAGAATTTTTAAAGCACGCAATACCACCCTGACCCGTGTGATTCAGTTGGTTAAGTGTTGTCCCACAAAGCAAAAGGTCTCCAGTTCAATTCTCAGTCAGGGCACATGCCCAGGTTGGCGCGGGTCCCAGTTGGGGCACATGTGGGAGGCAGCCAATTGATGTTTTTCTCCCTCTCTTTCTCCCTCTCTTTCTCCCTCCTTTCTTCTCTCTCTAAAAGTAAATAAATAAAATCTTAAAAAAAACATGCCATACCTAACTACTGAATCAAGAGCACAAACCTCTTTTCCCTTAGATTGTCAAATAAAAAATGACAACAACAAACAGAACAACAGCTGTCCAGTATGAATGAATCAAAATTATACCTATGTTTTTGTCAGATCAGCAGAAAGTACATTTTTGGTGTGCTGCAGATTTTTAGTAATTAGTTTATGTATGCCCTGAGATGAGAAAGGTTGAAGTCACTGGTCTAGCTGTACATGTATATGGATCTTTGAAGAAGCGATTCATCATAACTTTATTTATGAGGAAAAGAAAAACCAAAGTGCAAACATCTTAGGCTAAACTTTTAAACTGGTTGAAAAGAAATGAGAGGAGACAAAAACAACACTGTTAGTATTTGTAATTCTTCTGTGATCCGGATACAGCTGCATAGTAGCCAGTGCATGGTCACTTCGGACTTAACCAATACACGTAAAAACAGCCTTTCAGAGCCTAACCTGTTTGTGGGGAGCTTCCCAACTCAAAAAGGTGTATTCTGTTGACAGTGAATTATCTTTGTTTACAAGTGACAACTTGCTACACTGGACTGTACTTCAATAAAAGGTATTGTCACTTGTGTACCAAAGTGGTACTGTAAACCAGAACCTTTGCCCCTTCAGATTTGCAGGCCAGCGTTCCGAGGGAAGGTGTGAATCCCCAGGCTCTCAGTACAATGGGATGAAGGCTGGGTGCTAATCCCAGTTCTGTGATTTGGAGCCAGTGTACTTGGCTTCCTAGACCTCAGGGTCCTTATCTGTGACTTAAGTCTGAAGAATTATTCCCGCTTCTCAGAGATGTTGCAGGGATTAAATTAGATGAATATTGGATTACACTAGTTTCAGCATTTACTGGGCACTCACTATGACCTGGGCCAGGGTGGGAGGAACAAAGACGAAAAAATAGTTCTTGACATTGAGGAGTTATAGGTGGAATGAAGAAGACCAACTGCTAATTTCAATATAGTATGGTAAGTGCATATTTTGCATTTACCATCAGAGTAGAAGGGTACTCTGAGAACATAGGAAGAGACTAGGTTGGACCTGAAGTTTAGGTAAGACTCGTGAGAGGCAGTTCCTGTGATAAATCTTGGTTACGCTGTGACTGTGTAGCTCCCTTTCTGTGGCCACCCAGTCAGTGGTAGAGCTTTTCTCTACCAGGCAACTGAAGCAGACAACTGAGGTTCTGATCCTCTGGTCTATGGCAGGGCCTGGGCATCTGCATTACCCAAGGGCTCTAAGGGTGAGCTTGGCAACTGAGACTTTTGGATCTCACAGTAGTACTATTGTTAATGTCCCCTGTTAGTGCTCCAAGAAGCCCAGAGGGATGCATCAGACAAGCCCAATACAACTACACTCCACGTGCACCTCCCACACCCTAACCTTGGCAGAGATGGAGAAAGGAAGGCAGCACAGATTTTCATTGGTCCTAACCTTTGCTCCTGTCAAGGAAAGCAGAATAGACCAGTAGGAAGGAACAAGCAAGGGAAGAGACTGGAAACTTGGCCCAGGTCGGGGGTGGGGGTGGTGGTTTTCAGCAGTGCTTGAAAGTAGCTTTGGACTCTTGCTCAAGCTTCTCTGCCTGGGCATTTCCGGGGCGGGGGGGGTGGGGAGGGGGGCTCTTTTTCACAGCCCCATGCACTTTACAGAGTAACTGTCTGACATGTGGTCACTCCTCGCTAAAGAGGACACAGGGCACCTGAAAGTAGCTGGCATTTATTGAGCTCTTACTCTTGCCACCAACTGTGTGTAAATGCCTCTGCTCACTTGACCCTTGCACGGTCTTCACAGGGAAGTGGGTAATTCAGATCAGGGTCTGCTGGGCTCCTCCTGCCTTGTCTCGCTAACAGTTTTTAAAGTTGGAAAATTGCTAAAAGGCAAAGGATTCAAACAGGGGTCAAGAATGCAAAGCTAAACTTTGCCTACTTCCGGTTTTTCCCCAATGAAAACTTGACAAATAAAAGCAATTTGCAAGACATAGGTGGAGCTGCTTGAAGGCAGGCACCAGGTTCCTGTTAATCAGGATTCGCCCGTGTAGCTCTCCATCTCTCTCCCCTCCCCATCTGAAGACTTTCTCTGTTTTGCAACCTGACCTCTCAAAGGATCTTTGAATTAGAACTTTAACCCCATGAGCGATTTTAAAAGTTAAGAAAACAGCCTGGCCAGTGTGGCTCAGTTGGTGGGAGCCCTGTCCTATAACTGAAAGATTGCAGGTTTGATCCCTGGTAGGGGCACGTACAGGAGGCAACCAATCAAGGCTCCTCTCTCACATCGATGTTTTCCTCTCTCTTTAAATGCAATGAAAAGATGTCCTCAGGTGAGGATAAAAAAAAATTAACAAAACAGAATGTCTTAAACAAGGTTATATAGCTTTCTTCCCTGAAGTATACCACATTTATCATTTTCTTTATTTACTTGTTTGCTTATTTATTTATTTTAGTTCTGAACATTATACTAACCTAGGGTTCTAACTAAAATATGTGTGTATTACCACATTGATCTTTATCATAGGGAGTGGGAAAGATCTTACAGGTTTGTTTGTGTGTTATTTTTCTGGTTTTTTACAAACCCATTTCCTTAGCCTTTTCCTCTCTACTTGCAGGATGGATGATGGCCGGCTCTTAGACTACCTTATGAATCACGATGAGCTCATGGAAGAGAAGGTAGCATTCTACATCCGAGACATCATGGAGGCCCTACAGTACCTTCACAACTGCAGGGTTGCTCACTTGGACATCAAGGTAATAAGAAATAGCAACCCTTGCAGGGCCGTGATGAAATCCAACCTGCCAGTCATTGCCCTTGAGAGATGTCAATGCTAATCCATTTTATTTATTTAGATTATAATCTCCATGAATATTAAACAGAAACTAGGTTATCACACAATTTAAGCATATTATGCATGAGTTAATGAGAATACAATGACGCAACGATGTTTGGAGTGAGAGAAGATAGGCAAGCTTTGGCCACTAGGTCTAATTTTGTAGAAGGAAGCAAGTAAATGTCAACTTTTCCATGATGCTAAAAAAAAGCCTCTGTTTTCCAAAATGAGTAATTTATTCTTCACTTGATTCAGTGCAGAAGTAAGGGGTAGTTGAGAGACATGATTTTCACACAAACTCAGTTTAGCTTAGTTTGAAGCCTCCTGTGCACTTTGAGGAGGGAATGTCCCATGCGCCAGGGGTCCCCACCCCCGGGGCCTGTAAGGACGTGCCTGCTAGCAAAGCTCTCCTGAGCTTACACCTCCTGTTCGCTTCTCCCTCTCCCACCCTGCCTTCCATGATACTGGGCCCTGGTATCAGAAAGGTTGGGGACCAATGCCACTTGTTATAGGCTTTATCAAAGAGTAGCAGTGCTGTGTTTGAACTAATGGAGTCCTACTGAGAGTCAAAGCAGAGAGCTGAACTTGCCTTCCCTTCTCCCTGCCTCCTTGCATCTCCTCAGCCCGAGAACCTGCTCATTGACCTGCGGATTCCAGTGCCTCGAGTGAAGCTCATCGACTTGGAGGATGCTGTCCAGATCTCAGGACACTTTCACATCCACCACCTGCTGGGGAACCCTGAGTTTGCTGCCCCGGAAGTGATCCAGGGCATCCCCGTGTCCCTGGGCACTGACATCTGGAGCATCGGGGTGCTGACGTATGTCATGCTGAGTGGGGTCTCCCCCTTCTTGGATGAGAGCAAAGAGGAGACATGTATCAATGTATGCAGGGTGGACTTCAGCTTCCCCCATGAATACTTCTGTGGCGTGAGCAATGCCGCCAGAGATTTCATCAACGTCATCCTGCAGGAAGACTTCCGGAGGCGGCCCACAGCAGCCACCTGCCTGCAGCACCCGTGGCTGCAGCCCCACAATGGCAGCTACTCCAAGATCCCTCTGGACACCTCCCGCCTGGCCTGCTTCATAGAACGCCGCAAGCACCAGAACGATGTGCGGCCTGTTCCCAATGTCAAGAGCTATATTGTCAGCCGGGTCAACCAAGGGACGTAGCCACTGAGCTTGCGTCCCAGCCCTTGAGGTTTCACATGGAAGTGCAGTGTGAGCCAAAGCAAGACTGAATGTGTCTGTAAATAATTCTGTTCATTATTTCACTCCATGCAGTTCTCTGGATTGAGAGATGGTCTCTCTTAAACCTCATCAGTGGTTATTCAGGGTCTGAGCAGCAGTAAAATCACCCGAGATCCAGGGCTTTCCAGAAGGTCGTTCACAAGAGATAAAGGAGAAAGTCACAGAGAGTATTACAAAGAGGGTCAAGGATAACAAGAATATTAGCTGTCACAAAATGTTAATTGTGCATTCCAAAATGAGTGGGTAAGTGGGCAAAACTTCAGCTCATTGTGGTGAGTATAAAAGGTTTCTGCCTGTGCTGAAATTTCAAGCAAAAAGTTCTATTTAACAGAAATGTCAAGTATGCCAACCATTCTGGTTTATAGTACTTATAGTTTCTTAATAAGATTCATATACACACACAGTAAAACATATCCCATTCAGATTTCAGAGTTTTATAATAGAGAGATATATATGAAATCAATCAAAGTAACTTTTTAGTGCTCCAGTTAAGACAGTAATTTATCTGCCGAAGCATTACATTGTTTTGACTAAGCACAATTAGATGACAAGATTTTTAGAGCATTTTATAAATCCTGTATAGAAATCTTTACCAGAACCTGTGCATTAAGAGAAAGCAGTTCCCCTTTTGAAATCTGTGAACAAGTTTTCTCTCAGTCACAGGCACCTGACTAACATGGGTTCTGTATATGAAATGCTATTCCCAAATTCGCTGGCAGCTCAGAGTCAGCCTGGCAGGACAGTCTGCCAGGAACTAAGTCCAAATTATGGCAAGAGTTGTGAGCTCTTTTTATGTCTATACTTGGTTTGAAGTTAATAGCGAATATAACAGGTTCGCACAAAAGGGCAAACAAAAACCTTTCCTACGGTTCCTTGAACACCTAACAACACTCTCTGCTGTCCTCTACAGCTGTAGAACTCAGTCCTCAGACAGCTAGTCTACTTGATTTCTAACCCTTGTGGAAGCTAAGGGGTGCTCACCAACAGGAGGCAGCCATGTAGGCCTTTTAAAGGCCTGGTCCCAAGTCCTTTTTGAAGCCATGGAATAAAATCTGCTCCATCACCCTGATAGAGCATTGAATTTTAACTGCAATTGCACTGTCTACCACCACCCAGCCATCAGTATTTCCCGGCACTAAAAGGACTAATTGCACTCGGAGGCCAATGCTGCTTGCTGGTGTACCTTCTCCACACTAGATGCCTGCTCACTGCCCTTTTTTCTGCTAGTGGAAGAACAGCTAAACCTGAGCATTTCATGTTTTTCCTTTCTTTGTTTTGGAAAGCATTTTTGTTTTTGTGTTTGTCCGTGATCCACTCTTTGTTTTCTAAAGTGTGTTTTGAAACTTGCGGTTATGCAAATAATATTTTAAAAACATAACTCAAGTGTTTGTCCGAGTCAGATTGAATGGCATTGCTTCTCTCCTGTGACAGGATTGAGAAAATTGAAATCACGCAGCACGGACATGCAAGCACAGAGTTGATTAAGGGTAAATAGAAATACAGACTTAGTTCAATGAAAAGGAATTTTGGAAACTGAGCCCGAACTTGCATATGTAAAAGCACTTATTTCCACAGTGGAAATGTAGAATTGAAAACACTCATCATTCTTTCCCACTGATTTCAAAGTCAACTTCCTCATCTACCCTCCAATTCATCCCATCCAAGATTGTAAGTTAATAAGTTAATGGAAAGGATAAGCAATAAGACTAGATAGCACTTCGTGTTTTCAGAATTAACCAAATATGTGGAGACTGACTTTGACTATATCTGTTTCTTAGTTTTCAAATGGCCGCAGGGCCATCAAGGATCCCTTCCTCAGAGTGCTCTCTTGACGAACGCTCCATAGTCTTCATTTAAAAAGAAATGTATATACAAATGCTATAGGACATAATATTTTAAAATTTAGAACAATTTACTAGAAAGTCTTTTAGCAAACATGTCTTCATTACAAGACATATCAGAAGAAGAAAGCCTGGTCCCCAGGCTGGTGTGCAATAGAGTGCAGGCCTGAGGGGTCCAGATCACCACCTAGTGGTAGGTATGGCTCAGCAAGCTCCCTTCTATCCGAGGGGACAGTGACTAAAGAGCCCCCTGCTGAGCCACTTGGAGTGTTTATGACCATGCAGGAGGTGAAGCTGAGTTTCTGCTTGGGAAGGGTAGGGCCTAGGACAGTGGTGCAGATGGCACAGGAGAGTGTTAATGGGATTGTGTGGTGGGAAGGCAGTTGACAGAATGTTGGAGCCAAAGCTTTTGTATCAGCTTTTACAGCAGAGTGGGGATGATCCAGATGGGAGGTTGCACGGAACCCCCACCCCCAGGACACTTGTTGGGGAAGTGAGGGGACAGGAGAAGAAGGACATAGACATGAAAAGTAGCATGATTTTGTTAACTGGAGCCAAAGTACAATCATTAGAGTAGAATGAATTTAATAGGAGCCCAAAGAGAAAGGGCGTATATTTTATATAGTTTGGAAACTGAAGGAAAACAACAGGGAAGCTCCCTGTCTGCAAAGCTTCTGGTTCCTCCCGACAGGAAAGAGATAGCAAAGCTTCTGGTTCCTCCCGACAGGAAGAGATTCTGGTTCAAGAATTCTCCCTGACAAGTTGGAGGTAACAAGGAATCCCAGAACAGGTCTGGCAAATGCACTTCAGGTTGCCCTGTGGGCAAACATGGTGAGAGATGCAGGCCCAGGGACCCCTTTCTCGTACCTGTTTCGGAAGAGATATTTACTCCTTTGTGTTAGAGAAGAGGAGAAAAAAGAGACAAGAGCCCACTTCCCCAATTCCGGTGGTCCTTGACGTCAAAGCTTAACGAGGAATTAGTGAAAGTGAACTTCTGGTTGAACTGGGGAAAATAAGTGTTGGGTAAATTCACAACTTTCTTGCTTGGCTTATATTCACTGCATAGGTTCTGGGGGGTTTTTTGTTTTCTTTTGTAAAGGTGGGATGGAGAAAGAAGGGAGAGATCAGGGACAACCCATAGTAATTTTTAAAAGGTATAAGGATTTGCTGCATCTTTTACAATTGTTTCAAATTAAATAGATTTATATCCACTCACAGCTGAATGTGGGAACATTTTTGAGAAAAAAATGGTCATGTTGGCAGTGTGCTTTGGGTCTCTCACAGCCATCAACACTCTTGGGGGAGTAGAGGAGGCAGAGAGGCAAAGCCGGATTCACTGCTTTGTGGCTCACAAAGCTTTATAACAGTAGTGCCTTTCGGAGGGGAGGATGGGAGGTAAAGAAGTTCATTGTGTTTAGACTGACTGATGTTGCAGCATTTTTTCTTTATATACAATATCTGTTAAATGAAAACATCTGAATATAAGGTGAGCCTAGGAATTCTTGAGTTCCAACCTCAGTTATTCCTGATTAGTCCTTTCTAACAGAGAGTCTCTGTTTTCTGCCCCAGGTGTCCCCATTGTTAAAATGGGAGTTAGTGGGAGGGAGGGTGGACATTCATTTCATAGGCGTGTTGGAAGAATACCTTAATTGGGAGGTCTAGATAATACTTGGACTTTTTAAAAAGTGCTACACACTGCCAGTGCTAAGAATTTCATTGACAGGAACTTGAACATTCCAGGTTTTCAATATTCATGTCTTTAGGTACTCATTTGCAAACTCATGAAGTTAAATTCTACAAATTGATTTTAATTGGAGGTACTAGGTGCTCTTTGTCTAAATGTTATTTGGTTTTGGCCTATAATTTTGATCATTTAAAAGCTTGTCTACAGAAAGAGGTTAGGAGAGCTAATTGAAGTCTTTATGTCAATAAACTGTTTTCACCGGTGTTTCTTGTGGCAGACGCAGAGTAAGATGCCCTCCAAAGCAACCACTACTCTCTCTTCTCAAGCCTTGTGCCCTGGAAAATTAGGCAGAGAAGATCCCAAACAGCCACTTTCCTCATCAGGAGGGCAGAAGTGAGAGTAAAATAGTGTCTGATCTCACACTCACTATTTCAGAGTCTCACAGTCATCTGTTATTGAAGGGGCAAATGAAATGCCCGGGTGTAGAAATGAAGAACTCTTGGTTTTTGGAGGGAAAAACTTTGGATCCTTTTTAAAAGATAATTAGGTTTTTCAGGAGTGTAATATTTGCCTCCTCATAGTCTCCATGATTTAGCGCCCGTGAGCTAGTCATTACTTTTTTCTCACCTCTGTGGATGAGCATGGAAATTTGTGAGAATGTGAGGGAGCCAATATGTTATACACTAGATAATGGTTATTTCTGTGTATTAACTAAAACTTTGTCCTGTGTTTGATAGAGGAGGGGATATTTCACACAGAAGGGGTCTCTGAGTGGGGCAAAAGTGCAAGTACCATTTCTTGCTCAGTTTTGAGGAATTTTGACCTATTCCTTTCTCTGCTGTGCGGCATCTCTGTGGAGTCTGGGCTAGGCAAACACAGTATGTGAGCTTTCAGTGGATTATCTGTATTATGGCTTTTCTTAACTATTTAAAATCTAGGAATCACTTGAAAATGAATGAGCAAACCTGGGGCAGGGTTAGGAAAGATAAGGTTTACACATATTCCACTAAGATAAGGGAAGCTACTATGTTAATATTCATTTTCTAAAAACTCTAAGGCTCTCATTGTTTCACTAATTTTAGAGGGTTAAAAAGGGCTGAAATTTGTCCACAGCACTAGCCACTTAGAAAATGTTATTCACGTGAGAAATCTATACAGAAATAGTAGAACACAGAAATATCATAGGCCATATTTTCCTCTTCATTTTAATATATGTAGAAGTTAGAGGAGAAGAAATTACTCTAAGACAAATTTTCATCTTTAAGGGATATTTACAGAAAGCCTGAAATTGATACTCACAGGCTTGGTGTCCTCCTCTCAGCCTTGTTGCTGGGAGAGTCGAAACTGTTGTCAGATTTAGCTTCTGTTCAAATATTCAAGATTAACTGTTTATTCAGATAACTGTTATTTTGGAGAGTGAGGATAGCTGAGAAAAGGGAGGGTGGTAGGAAAACACACAAGTAAATTTCTTGAAGTCCCCCCTCCTGAGGCTTAATTTGAGCAAGCTAATCTGCTAGCCCAGGAGGAGCTGGCACAAGAGCTCCACCCATGCCTGACTTCTGTCAAGAAATGTATCCACATCCAGGAGTATCACGCAAACTATAATGACCTCACAGACTGTGGTTGTGAATTTGCAGTTAACAAATATACGTCTTCTTTAACCAACTGAAGCCATATCTGTCATTTCTGTGTTTGACTCTTTTTTTTTTTTTAACCCCGGTGCTTTCCCCTCTGTTTCTGCCAAACTTCAGCCTACTCTATGGGGAAGAGGAGTAAAACCGTAGTTAGGATGAATGTGAGGACCATGAAAAAACTAAACCTCCTCTTCACAGTGAGATCCTAGCCAGAGAACAGTAGTGATCAAAATGCAAACTGTTGGAAAACATGGATATATGTACATCTGTACATGTATATAGTGTATAATATGTATGTATATGTTATTGCTCATATGCAGAAATCTATCCATTTGAAGACAGCCCAGGTGGGTCCATTTTTCTGTTGGAAAACCATCCGGGCCATTCAAAACCATTAGGGCCGATGGGTAGAGTTACATTCTACTGAATTAGGAATCATTTGCTGTCTTTTGAAGTCCACAAACCCAAATCAATGAAGCCTAAAACAATGGGGCCACCATTTCAGTTATTATGTTTATATGGAGTCAGAAGTACCTTTATATTTGAATCATTAACAGTTGGTTTGCAAACTGCATTGGCACCTTTTGGTTTTGAGTGACCCCACCCCACCACTTCTTTTGAGAGTTCGACATGGCTTCTCTGGCCATTCAGATAAAGGGCCTTATCCATAGTGGACAGGTTTCCCCATAGAGACCATTACACATATACATATAAGTACATACATCCATCAGGCTTATAACAATTGGTTTAAAAATCACTCCACAGTATTGATAAATAGCTCTATATTTTCAAGGTGCAGAAAAATTCCACAGCCTTAATTATTTCAGTGTCTTGCTGGTCTGCCTTAAGTGTATCTTCTGGGTTTTGGTTGTCTGATTATTTTTAAATTTTTCTGCAATTATTCATTTTGTATGCACACAATGTCATTTTGTAAAGGTAGGTTGTATATATTTTATTTGTAAGTCAAATTCATTCACGTGTAATGTTGTAAAGTGATGATCTGCTGTCTTGTTATACTACAGTAAATGTTATAAGTTATGGATGACTTCAAAATGTACATCTCACAAGTTATGCATTCCTATAAATATACTATACTAAAGATCATTATTTCTGGTGGCCTTTTTGTTTTCTTTCTAATTAAAACCTGTGTTCAAAAATCATATTTTTCTCTCTTTTCCCAAGTATATGAAAGCATTTGACAAGGTAAACAAAATCACATTATTATTACAATACTTTTTATCCAGGATTTTGCATAGAAAGTAACAATTTTGTAGCCTGGAGAAGTATGCTAAAGTATTTCTTTATTCAAAATATTGCTGAATAAACTTCACATGTGCATTGTTAATTTCATTCTAGTGTTTCATGTGGCAACTTTGTTAGCAAATTGGAAGGCCATTTGTGCTGGATCTCACAAGTTTATGCATCATAGTATGAACTTGAGGAATCTGGATTAGCCTATGGGGACATGGTCAAGCTTTGAAAGACTGGAAGTGCCACTGAGGTGCAAAAAAGCCTGATTCATAATACAGTGTCAGCTGGGTAGAGTGTTAGGGATTGAAGTATTTTGATTAGCCAGTAAGAGCCAAATGTTTTAATATCTGGCTTTTATTTCATCAATATTTTACTGCATTTATTTAAAATGAGAAACAATTGTCAATGCACAGGTTCTTCACACTGGCTGGTCAGCACAATCTCTTCAGAGAAATTGCATAAAAAATATTGAAATGAGCCCCGGCTGGTGTGGCTCAGTAGATTGAGTGCCAGTCTGAGAACCAGAGAGTTGCTGATTGTATTCCCAGTCAGGGAACATGCCTGGGTTGCAGGCCAGGTCCCCAGACAGTGGGTGACAGGCAACCACACATTGATGTTTTTCTCCTACCCCTCTCTCTAAATATAAGTAAATAAAATCTTTTTAAAAAGATTGAAATGAAATTAGAACCAATTTGATGGGTAACAATCATTAGCCCTATGGCTTTATGAATTATTTTCCTTAAAGTATTGCCTTCTACACATGAGAATTTCCTCCACTTTAAGGGATCTATTTGCCAAAACCGAATTCGCTTGGGTTTTCAGATTAGCAGGCCAGGTTACCCCAGATGACCTTGATACCCTCAGTTCATCCTTCTCTGCCCTCCTCCCTCGCTTCATCAGCTGCACACGTATTACGCGCCAAGCATTTGCGTGATCGAAGGGGAGTAAATATGCATCCGCCTCCAGGACTTGTAGAGCCGACGAAATGAATCAACCTTCTTGGCGCTCTAGAGTCCCATTTGAGAAGGGCTCACATTGTCACGTGACCAATGCCATGAAGTTCAAGGGAGAAATGAGAAAAGGTCCCTATCTCTGAGATCTTTATTTTTCGAAACCGGATGGGGGACGTGGCTAATAAGCAAATAACTACATTCGTGGCCAAATAGGAAAGAAAATTCAGAGGACGCTAATCTTAAGTGGGCAGAATTCACAGTCTCTTGAAAGGCTTGACTTCATGATCTTGGAAGCGATCTAACTCTTCGACGCTTTACAATCCATGGATCCAATCCAGGGGCAGCCAGAAGAAGCGTAAATCTTACGGCAAATTTCACGGCCGGCAACCTAGCCTGCAGAGGCGCGCGAACGGAGCCCGCCCGGCCGCCCGAAAAGGGGACGGAAGAGGAGGGCCTTCTCCGCTGACGTCACAGGAGCGCCGCGGTCCCAACATTCTTTGACCTGTGGAGCGAGTGTGGAGTTCCCCACGATGTCGGCTACCCGAGCAGCTTTGGGATCCTTGGTAACGGATCTGTACGACGTGCAGGCTTTCAAGTTTGGGAACTTCGTGCTGAAGAGCGGGCTGTCTTCTCCCGTCTACATAGATCTGCGGGGCATTGTGTCTCGACCACGTCTTCTGAGTCAGGTGTCAGCCCCGGAATGGGAAGAAGCGGGGTGGTGGCGGAAAGGGAGACCAGCAAATGGAGGAGAGTGAAAAGTAACTGGAGTTGGGCTGCGGGTGAGAGCAAAAGAGCCAAATAGGAGGATCGACCCTACTGTCGGCCTGGGGAGTCAATTTGAGAAGCCCAGAGGCCAGGAACTGTTAGTTTCTTGGGGACACAGAAAGCAGCCTGCTCTTTGACCCACCGACTTTGACACGTGCTTTGCAAGAGTCGGGGCCCCAGTTTGGAGCCTCGTCTCGCATAGAAGTGGTTGAAGGAGTTCTCTGTCTCTAACCTCGAGAAAATTAGATGTGGGGAAAAGGTGGGAGGGGGTAGAATTTAATAGCTGCTCAAATAATTGGAAGGACTGTTGCTTGGAAGGGGGTTTTGATTTTGCACTGTGACCAGGAGCAGGAATTAAGGCCTGAGGGTGGACATTTCATGGAGGCAGTTTCTTTTTTTTTGGGGGGGGTCAACATTAGGAAAAACTTTATGCAAATTAGAGGTTACTAGCGCAGTGCTTCTCAAACCTTCAGTACGTATGAATCACCTGGGGGTTTTGTTAAAACGCGTAATATGGTTGAGTAGAACTGAGGCAGGGCCTGAGGTTAGGCACTTTTAGTGAGCTGCCAGCCAAAGCTGCAGACCACACTTTGAGTAGAATAATCTAAATGTGATGTTCATTAGAATTGCTACTAGCTACATGGGAATATTGAGCATTATGAAGTTTTAAAATTTAAATAGTCACACGTGGCTATCATATTGGACAGTGCAGATATAGAATATTTCCATCGTCACACAAGTTCTATCCAGAAGACACATAAAAGTTCCTCCTGTCACCTTATGTCCTTATGGCTTTTATGTCCACCCTTTGTGTGGTTATTATGAAAGGATCGAAGCACTAGTTGAAATGGGTTGGACTACCCAGGATATTGCTATGGCATGTGTCATCCATGCTGATGAAGTGAATGACTAGGGGGTCTTCTCATAAAAAATTGGTATACCTTTTAACAAGTCGTCAGTTGATAGAAGACTGAAAACTATTATTTGATACTAGATCTTGATGTGGGTGTGATTTTTGGTAGTTAATTTGTAAGGAGTCAAAATGTTGAGAGACCTGGCTGTAACAGAACTTCTTTCATGTCTACTTTATTCTAATAGGGTTTCTCAATATTTGCACCCAGAAAAGCTGTATAATTTACACTAAAGTCTAACTTCCTTGTAGTAAGGAATATTGAACTACAGTATACACATAAACGAATGCAAGGGGAAGAGGTACCATTCATCTCACAAAGAAATGCATTTCTGAAATAATCAGTTTTTATGCTTTTATCAGAAGCATAAATTAATTTTATGCTTATAACAATTTTAATTTTATTCTTATAACAATTGTAAATGGTAACTCAATACAGAAGAACTTTTAACACTTGGAGACTTACAGTCAGGAAAATTTCAATTTAATATTTTTGTCATGAAGAAAATGATCAGTAAGAGTTTTATTTTTTTTTTAAGGTTTTATTTATTTATGTTTAGAGAGAAGGGAGGGAAATAGAGAGAGAGAGAAACATCAAGGTGCGGTTGCTGGGGGTCATGGCTTGCAACCCAGGCATGTACCCTGACTGGGAATCGAACCTGCGACACTTTGGTTCGCAGCCTGCACTCAGTCCACTGAGCTATGCCAGCCAGGGCAACATTATACTTTTAAAAATATTTTGTTTAAATAGTCTCAGGTATACAACATAATGATTTAATAATTGCATATATTGCAAAGTGATCACTGCAGTAAGTCTAGTTAATATCCATCATCATACATACTTAAAGAATATTTTTTTGGTGATAACTTTTATGATCTACTCTCTTAACAACTTCCAAATATGCAACACAGTGTTGTTAACTGTAGTCACTGTGCCATGCACGACATCCCCATGACATTTACGATGTAACCGCGAGTTTGTGCCTTCTGCCCACCTTTACCCATTTCATTCACCCCCAACTTTGCCCAGCCCTCACCTCTGGAAACTACCAATCTGTTCTCTATAGGTTGGGTTTTTCTTTTTACCTTTTTTTGTTTGTTTGTTTCTTTATTTTAGATTAGACATATAAGTGAGATCATACGGTATCAGTCTTTCTCTCTCTGACTTACGTCTTCATCCATTTGTCTATGGATGGATGTCTAGGTCGCTTCCACATGGTGGCTATTGTAAAAAATCCTGCAGTGAACATAGGAGTGTGTTTATCTTTTGAATTAGTGTTTGGATTTCTTCAGATAAACACCCAGAAATGGAATTACTGGGTCAAATAGTAATTCTATTTTTAATTTTTGAGGAATTCCCATATTGTTTTTCCATAGTGGTTGGACCAATTTACAATCCCACCAACAATGCTGTGCATTGGGGGTTCCCTTTTCTCCACATGCCTGCCAACATATGTTAATTTATTGATGATAGCCATTCTGAAAGTGAACCACAGTGAAGTGATACTTCGTTGTGGTTTTAATTTGCACTTCCCTGATTTTGATTAGTGATGTTGAACATCATACGTCCATTGGCCATCTGTATGACCTCTTTGGAGAAATGTCTGTTCTGGTCATCTGCCCATATTTTAATCAATTTTGATTTTTTCAGTGTTAAGTTATATAAGTTTCTCATGTGTTTTGAATATTAACCCCTTATCAGATATCGGCGTATATCTTCGCACTCATCAGGTTTTCTTTTCATTTTGTTGATGATTTCGTGCACTGTGCAAAAACTTTTCAGCTTGATGTAATCCCACCTGTTTACATATGCATTTTTTGTTTCCCTTACCCACTGATACATATCCAAAAAAATGACAGAGAACAATGTCAATAAGTTTATTGCCTATGCTTTCTTCTAGAAGTTAAGGCTTTCAGGTCCTACTTACATTTTTTCAAGTCTTTAATGCATTTGGAGTTTGTTCCTGTGTATGGTGTAAGAAAGTGAACAGTTTCATTCTTTAGAATGTATCCGTCCAGTTTTCCCAATGGTACTTATTGAAGAGCTGTCCTTACATCATTGTATAATCTTGCCTCTTTTTGTCATAAATTAATTGACCGTATAAATGCAGGTTTATTTCTGACCTCTCTGTTCTGTTCTGTTAATCTGTGTGTCTGTTTTGTGCTAGTACCATGCTGTTTTGAATACTGTGTCCTTGTGTAATTTGTTATCAGGTAGCCTGATACCT